TTTAAACGTTTAGGGTTAAGGTTACGTATTAATTAGTTAAGTAACTTAGTACTAAACTAAAATTTCTTCCTGCTCTGTGCTATATATATATATATATCTATATATATATATATATATGTGTGTGTGTTTTAAAGGAAGTATTGATTTCTTTGTATGTACATAAAAGTGTTTTGAAACTCATTTACATAGGCAAGAAGAAAGTAACTCAGGTTTAAAAGTTATTAAAAATTTCACCTTTAAGTAAAAGCTATATATATAATCCTTTTGATGTCAGGTTAGAAAAGTACATATGCAAGTTCAAGGAACATCAGACCTGTAGTGAATTTCTGGCCAAGTGTAAAGAGTTTTTTAATAAAACAAAGTCAAACATTCTTTTCTAGTGTCATGTTTACAAACCTTGCTGGGTATTAACGTTATTAATAGAGTTTACCATGTTGTAATCTGTTTTGTTAAAAAATATGAATCAAAGGTGATAAGTCAGTGCATGATAAAAATTGAAGTGAAAGATATTGCTGAATGACTTTGTGCCTTCATTTTTGCATTGTTTCTGTTTTTTTTTCACTGTAAATGTTCTTTTTGTTGTTGTAACTGTTGAGCACAAAATTTTATGTGTGAATGAGTAATGATTAAAACAATTAGTGGAACTTATTTGAGGTTAACGTGAAACATTTGGAAGGACAAAAATGATAGCATATACAATTTTCGGTCAACTAGAACTTTTCCACAAAATGATGGCCAATTAATAAATAATAAGTTTATCTCTAAAGTTGGTTTTTTGAAAGAATGGAAGGAATAGACTGCTGTACTTTTTTATTTTGTGCCAGCTTTACATATTTTTTAATTTGAACTAACTTTGTACAAAAAATCATTTACGAAAATTATGATTGGATGAACAGTTTATGCTTCACCATAAAATAGTTAAGGAGTTTAATGGTGAAAGTGTGCCTTTAGAGCAATATTTATGTTGTTTCATGAAAAAGCTGAACATGTTATTTTAGTGTAGTGCATTGTATGGTAGAATATGTTTATATATTGTATGAAACTTCTGAAACACTAGAGGAAGAGCAATTATATTGAACTTACTGTATCATAGATACTTGTACTAACCATTAAATATGTGAAAATAATGTAACTGGTTCCACTATTATGTTAACATATTGTGTAATATTTAAATACTGGAGAATGTTTATTTGTGTCCATTTTCATTATTATAATATACTTTTATCCTGAAACTTAGAATTTTGTAATTTTACATTGCTCAGAAAGTTAAAGACACCTGTGGACTAGCTGTGGATAGCTTAAGAGGTGGGTTCATGTTTGTTTAACACCAGTTGCCTTAGACGTGTCTGATATGTAAATGGTGAAAACATTCAGTAAGGACCTTTTGAACTGTGTGATACCTGTAGGATCTTCAACCACCTTTTTTGTTCCTTTTTTGTTTAACCATTGTTGCTAAATTTGGTGTATCATTAAAAATTGGCAAAAATAAAAACTCGGAGAGAAATATAGTTTCTTCTCAATTGTAATTATTTCACATTTTCAATTTCATGGCAGAACAAAAAATTATTGTTATAGGTTTTACTAGGGACAATGTGTAAACGTTATGATGATTGAGGAAAAAATAATTATAAGTAATACTTTTATAAGTTTTTTTTTCTATTTTATTACAACTGTGTAAGGAAATGTTAATAAAGAAACAACAGAGAGCGTTTCTATATCTGGGATTAAATATACAAAAAAAAAGGACAACAGCGTATGATTGTGTTCAAGTTTTATTATGAAACAGAATTTTTTGAAAATATTGAACACGTAATTATTATTATTATTATTTGTTTGTAAGTAAGCACAAAGCTACACAATAGGCTATCTGGTGCTCTGCCCATCACGGGTATCGCAACCCGGTTTCTAGCGTTATAATTTCGCAGACATGCCGCTGTGCCACTGGGGCACTACACATTATGTAGTCTAGTGCTTAACAAGGAACAAATCCAATTAAATATCTTTTTTCAAATTTATTATAAGTCTTTGTTCGTTACATATTAAAGATGAATAAAAGGCACAATCTCTCTCAAATATGCGCATTACTATTCAACCAAGAAGTCGACATTATTTAAAGCTATTACAACTACCTGATCTTCAAATAATCAATAACACAGGCCTGACATGGCTAGGGCGCTCGACTCGCAATCTGAAAGTTGCGGGTTCGAATCCCCGTCCTACCAAACATGCTCGCCCTTTCAGCCGTGGGGGCGTTATAATGTTATGGTCAATGCCACTATTCGTTGGTAAAAGAGTTGGCGGTGGGTGGTGATGACTAACTGTCTTCCATCTAGTCTTTCACTGCTAAATTAGGGACGGCTAGCGCAGATAGACCTCGTGTAGTTTTGCGCGAAATTAAAAAAACAAACAAATAAACACAGGCCTGCGATGGTTTTATTGTCTTCAACTTTTGACATGTTCTACAGTACTTCCTGTACGCTGAATCCGAAAATGATATCAATTTTTCTCCATCACGTATAGATTTTTCACAAAACGTCTTATGTACTTTTACATATGTGTATCATTTTCATTGAAATCGGGTCATATTTTGTTTTGCTTAAAATGTTAACAGCCAATGGCTTTAGATTTCTCTAGACCTGAAAGTATTATTGATCGTTCTAGAATCAACGAGAAACACACCGCTTGTATATAAACGGTTAACATGCCGCATGACATGTAATTTCTGGATAGTATTTGTTTGTGCGTGCACTTTGACATTTTTTTTTCTTTTCAATATTATATATTCGTCGCTATGGCAACAAGAGGTTGTGTAAATTACCCAAACATATTCTGTGATATTTGTGGTAAATTTGTCGTAAAGAAACAAAGGCAAAACATTACAGAATTCGTCAAAAAAGCGTATTATGCGCATTTTGAAATAAAACTTGAGGACCAGGACAAATAATGGGCTCCGCACAAAGTTTACACTGTTTGTGTCAAAGAGTTGAGACAATAAACTAAAGGTAAGAAAAGGTCTTTGCGTTTTGGAATTCCAATAATCTGGCCTGAGCCAAGAAACTACGAAGATTACTGCTATTTTTGCTCATGTGACGTGCAAAGCTACTGCACTCGAAATAAAAAGGAAATTTCTTATCCAAACCTTCAATCTGCTGTACAGCCTATTGCTCATTGACCTGATCTACCTGTACGTATTCCACCGGAGACTCTTGATAGACTTTTATCTGATTCTAAATCTGGTATCAATAGAAATTATGATAGAGATTGTTTTCAACCTGAAACATCTGGTGAACCACAACTTTTCACTCAAGGTGAACTCAATGATTTGGTGAGAGATTTGGGCATTCGAAAGAATTCTTCAGAGATTTTGTGGTCCAGACTTCGGGCTCAGAACATACTTTCTCCGAGGACATCATTTTATTGATACAGAAATTGTGAGAATGAGTTTATACCATACTTTTTGCAAGAAGGTTCATTAGTATTTTGCAACAACATTGATGAATTAATACAATGCTTGGAGCTGCAGTCTATGAACCAAGTGAGTGGTGATTGTTCATTGATTCCTCCAAATGAAGTCTAAAAGGTGTTCTCCTTCACAATGGTAACATATATGAATCTGTTCCTATTGCTTATTCGGTTCACTTGAAGGAAACGTACGAAAATATCGAATTTCTTAATAAGGTCAAATAGAAAGAACATGGATGGTTACTTTGTGGAGACGTGAAAGCCCTTTGTATGCTGTTGGGTCAACAATCTGGTTATACAAAGTTTCCACGTTTTTTGTGTGAATGGAACAGCAGTGCACGAAATCAGCACTGGATAAGTAAGCAATGGCCACGCAGAGTCAGCCTGATACCAGGATTGAAAAACGTTAACGTGAAAGTTTGTTTAACACAAAGAGTCCTATTACCTCCACATCACATAAAACTGGGCTTGATGAAGCAGTTTGTAAAGGCTTTAGACAAAGGTGGCGACTGTTTTAAGTATCTATATAGGCAATTCCTAGCTCTTTCAGAAGTAAAACTTAAAGAATGGATCTTTGTTGGGTTTCAAATTAGGGAATTGATTTCGGATGAACAGTGGGAAAGGACAACGAGGAAAGTTGAAAAAGAAGCGTGGATTGCCTTTAAAGATGTTATTGGCAAACTTTTAGGAAACATCAAGGAACCATATTACGAAAATATTGTCAATAACATGCTCGATCAATTCAAAGAGTTGGGTTATAATAAGAGCGTGAAATTTCATTACTTACACTCACATATTGACTATTTCCCTGAAAATCTTTGTGCCGTCAACGAAGAACAAGATGAGAATAATGGCTGGAGACGGCTTGAATTGGTAATGAAGAAAAACTTTAATACAACAGCAAATGTACAACGTTTCGTACAAGGTTTTGTCATCATCAGGTGGCATGATGGCTGATTGCTGCTGATCGTTGAAACTAGATGCTCCAGACGCAATACATAAAAGAAAGACCATAACACGTAGTTTTGGGACTAAAAACGTAAATTTCACACACACACACACAAATCAGGATGAATGAGGATGCATATTGGTTTGACATCAATTTTCTTTCCTTTTCTTCAGTTTGTTTGTATTTTTGTTAACAAACGTAATAATAAAAATGTTTATTGTGGTAAACGGAAAAATAATTTGATCTAGTATGAATTTTTTCTTCCCGATTTGTAAAAACTTCTTACGTGATAGAAAAAAATAATCTTATTTTCGAAATGTGCGTAGCTGAATCACGGAAAATCCGTTATTAAAACCAAAGTAACTTTTATGAAGTTTAAATTCGCTGGCCTGTATAATAGTAATCAGTCATATATTTTAGCAAAACTAAGTTAGGACAATATAGTATTTTGGATAAAATAACTTATGAACAATGATTTTTTTAATTAAAGGGGCAAAAATTCTGTAAATACGCTTTTTTTAGGGGGGTGGGTGTATGTTGTATGTGCAAAATTTCGTCCTTCAAATTAGGCGCATATTAAAATAAAAAAATATTGATGTTGTGAGAAACAAACTACCTCTTAAGCTTTAAGAGATGAGGATTTCACTTGATAATTAATTAAATTCAATAACGTAATTAGCTTTACACTGGATTTTAAGCATTCTATGAAGATTGTCCGTACCTATGAGCTGAAACATTGCAGTAATAATTGCTTAAAAAACACTTTGACTGTAATGCCGTCCGCAAAAGTATATTAACTCTTCATTGTTTATAGAATAATATATAGTAAAATATAAACTTAAGAGACTGAAAATAAAATTTGGGAAGTAATTATATTAGACCCAATATAATTGAATTGTCGAAGTTCAAATTCGTCAGTGCAGTCAAAATTGTATGCATTTAGTTTTTATTTTACTTATATATATAGGCGGCTATGAGTGTATCAATCAACATTTCTGTAGCACAAAATAGCGCTTACATTGACGTCATCTATAGGGAAAATGGCAGAGGGTGAACTTAACGTGGATAGTATAATTTCCAGGCTTTTGGAAGGTAAGAAGCTAAGTATTATTTTAAAGTAAAATAATTATGTGACCCTAAGAGATAAGCAATTTGAAACATATTACCTGTACTTAAAATAATTATCTTAAAGTGCGCCAGAAAGGAAAGGAACTACTGCTCTACGAAAGCGATTCAGAATTGTCCTATACTCGAAGTACTATACAATATAGTATAGTTATATTGAGTTAAGTAAGTTGTACTCATTGTGTCACTGACTAATGGTAATGTTAATAGTACATCGTTAGGCTTAACATTTTATTCATTGCCATTGTTAACCAGTATCAACATTGATATTGCAGTAAGGATACAGCTTGAGTAAAAACCTAGCAGTTTTAAGTTTAAGCATGTAATATTATAAGTTGGACGTAATCCGTATAGAAAAAGAAAAAAATATTTTTACTTTACTGTTACAGCTTACAATGGTACATTATACAGGGTTTTAGTTTTAGTAGTACTAACTTAACTAAGAAATACTAATACTAATAGCTGTACTGTGTCTGTTACTGTTACAGTGTTAGTATTAGTAGTATTCGCTTGTTTCATAATTATGACTGTGAGGATGAAGGAGTTAAGTATTAAATTTTCATTTATTAATTACAGCATTAGTCCATCTTAATTTTTTTTTCATTAAATGAAGATAAATTGTGTTGGTTTAAAATCATGGTATTATGTAGAAAATAATTCTATCTTTATAAAAGCTGTAAAAACTTGATATTCTTTTTGTGTAAATTTTTTTCTCGGAAAGAAACTAATCCTAATGAAGTATAATAGAATTGTTGATGAAGTACTACATTTCAATATGATGTAGAGGGGAAGACTAATGCAGTCAATAGTATTATGGTATAGTACATATTATTAAATTAAAGAGGATAATTTATTTAATAATTTTAAAAAGTATATATTAAAAAGATCCAGATTATTATTTTCACTTACTTCACAGTGCGTGGTTGCAGACCTGGAAAAACTGTACAACTAACAGAAGCTGAAGTTCGTGGTCTGTGTCTGAAATCAAGGGAAATATTTTTAAGTCAGCCCATACTCCTTGAATTAGAAGCACCTCTCAAAATATGTGGTTAGTAAAGAATTAATTAAGCATTATGCCACCAGCTGAGTTCATGAAACATTTTCCCTACATTTAATTTAAAGTTTTCTAGTGATATAATTGTGAAATATTTCTTCACTCTCAATTTTATAATCATTTAGTTTAAACTAATATGCAAAAAGTTTTAAGTGTAGAATGGACAGGCTATTCCCAATTTGATAACAAATTGGGTATAATCAGGAATGGAAATTTTCTGTATGATTGTAAAACTCTGTTTTTGTTAGTAGTAAGAGATGTATCTAGGAAAGATCGGAATAGTTTATGTACTAAAATACAGGTTTTTTTTAGAAGTATTGGCTAGATAACAGTACACAGTTACTGTTGGAGCTGTTTTGTAAAGTAAAATTAAAGGATTTTTTATTTGCCAGATTATGAAGTAATTAAAAGTAGTTATTAGGGTGTTTATGCTATAAACATTGAAATATCCCATGATATATCAAAATTTTGTTACAGTATCTGTGAAACTAATTGCAAAATGTGTGGTTTACTGTATACAGAACACTTAAACTGGTGCTTTGCAGAAGGTCTTGTTTTCTGTATGGTAATACTATTTGATGCTTTTTATAAAGATGATTCAGTTTTGGTTACAATACTCAAAACTAGAGCAGGGCAGTTAGTGGAATTTGCTAATCAATTAATCTTTAGACTCATTAATTGATTACATTCAACACATTGATTATTCTCACATGAAACTAATCTTCCTGTTTTCAGTTTGTTTTGGGTTTTATAAAGACATTTTGAAACTGTTTAGTATGAAAGACATCTTATGGTGCATTGAGATTTAAGGTGATTTTTTTTTTTTAATCATAAACTATTGAACATTAAAATTGTATCACATATGAAGAATAGTACAAAGTGTGTAAGAATATGAAAGTATGATTAATAGCATCCATTGGTGTTTCTCTAAAAGTTTCCAGAAGGCTACTAAAACTACTGAATCTTTCTGAAGAAAATAAACATTATTTCATTAAATTTTGAAACAACTATTTCTATTAATTTCATAAATTTTATTACCAGAATGAAAACTCAAAAAAAAAAAAAAAGAGAAGGAAACATGAGTAGTTTCAGCCATAGGTATACATAAGGTGTCAGTTAATTGGATGCAAATATCTTAGAAAGAGAATTATTTTTCAAAATATGTAAAAAAATGCACAAGATTTAACCAATAATAGTGATGTTCAAAGAAAAAATAAAATATCAGAACTTGCTAGATACAGTACTTATTTCAAATGTATAAAAAATTTACTAATTGCCACAAAAGGTTTGCCAATTAAAATTAGATTTTTTGTTATGTTAGAAAAATGTTTAAAGTAAAACTCCATGTTAGAATTTTGCTATTTCATTTCTTCTATGAACATCAGTATTATCGGTCAAATCTTGAGTATTCCTGAATTTATTTTGAAAAATAATTCTCTTTCTAAGATATTTGCATCCAATTAACTGACACCTTACGTATACCTATGGCTGAAACTACTCATGTTTCCTTCTCTTTTTTTTTTTTTTT